ATCTGACTTCTTGTTTTTATAGTCCAGTTCTACCATTAGCTGGCTGCATGATATTTGACAAATCACTCTCATCTCTATTTGCATCAATATTCTTAGTAAATTGGGAGTAATGGGGTTAAGGAAGATGACATAAGTTAATACAAGTATAGTGCCTGACACTTAGTAAGTGTAATGAGAGTAGCAAGCACTAGAACAAGTAGGGTATATTCTAGGAATGCAAAGATTGTTCGACATCAAAAAATGAATTCATGTAACTCACTAACTTAATTTATGACAAGTTTAAGGGTTTCACTGCAGATATGTAGAATCTTAAAGCTGTAAGTTCTCCCTTTTCTCAAAACTAATACATGGTCTCGAAATTCTTCATACATTTCCCCTCGGACTCCTGCAATGAAAACTTTCTAGAATTGATTTAAAACATAATCCAAATACATCATTGTTGTCCTACAGTTTTGTCATTGAGATCCTAGTTTCATCTCTGACTCATCACTACTTTGGCCATAAAGTTGTGTCTTCTTGAAGTGAAGAGTGTGCAGTAGCTTTATCTCTTATTTCTTTGCATAAGTGAAATGTAGAGAAAATAATGATGCCAATGGTGGATAATACCTGTTCACAGAAGAACCACACGTCACTGGAGACAATGCTACTTTTTGGCCCACCTGACTGGTTGTTGGGTCCCTTTATTGACTGATTACAAATGACAACCTTTCTCAAGAGCTAGTTCTTCAGACAAGAGACTCTGTAAGGGTCTCTAGCTGGACATTCCCTACCTTCAACATCATATCAGTGGACATTTCAATTCATAGTCTCTTGTTCTTTGAGTCCCCATGTCCCTGCTTCAAGGGAAGCAAGCAACTTGCTCATTAGAGTTTAAACCCTGGCTAACTTTCATGACATTCACACAGCCCCAGGGAAACCATCTGAGTGATGGACATACACCTGAGTGAGCAAGACCCAAACAGTCCTGCTCCCAGCTCTATTCTCCCATTTTCATCTCCCCATGCCACAGCAAGATGAGGCCATCTGCTGATTTAGTACTTCAGTAATTTTAGAACAGAATATAATCCCTCCATTTCTGCCTCAGGTAACTTAATCAGGGAAAGCAAAGTAATTTGAACATCTCTACTTGCAAAGATTGGGAGGATGATAGTACAGTCTCTTCCCTCAATCCACAGGGAGAGAAGAGGAAGGAATAATTTCCATTCAAGGTGCATCAGACTTCTTTTCCTCTTTATGAACCAAGGGGCTAGGAATTATTAAGTCACTCATGTTGAACAGCCTCCCTCCTTGCAGGCTCCATAGTTGGGTCCCCTGGGCATTTCCACAACCTAAAAAGATGAGGCACTTAAAGCCTCTTACTCTCCCCTGGGAGATCCAGATGCTGGCACCCAGGAACAGTAGATAACTCAACCCACACTAGACACCATTTCAGTGTTATTAGATTAAAGGAAATGCAAAAAAAATCATTTGATAAAGTTCAATACACATTCATGATTAAAATGAATCACAGCAATCTAGGAAAAACCTCTAAAACAAGAAACATTTTCTATGGTATAATATTGGAAGTGTTCTCATTTATACATTCAGGGCCCCACCCAAAAGATATCTTTTATCATTGAGTATCTTCAATAATATATAAGGGTTCCTGGCATCTTTAAAATAATACATAAGAAATGTTAATTAAAAAATGTATGAGACTACCTCATACAATTAAGAAGACAGCTTAATAAAAAATTATACCCATCCTCAAATTAGAATTTTCTAGTATATGTTTTTTGTAAAGAATATTTTGAAATCTATATATAATATTAACAATATATATGAAAGTCTTGGGCCTGAAATGAATTCAAAAGATCACTGCATTCCATTCTATCTGCTACCAAACAAGCTTGTACCTAAGAGAGAGTAGTATCTTCAGGTAGAAGTATTTCTCATTTGACACTGATAGTGCAATAAAAAAGAAATATTAATCATATTAAATAAGCAAAAATTTCTTGCCACGGTCCAGCCGCAGCAGGGTCCAGGGATTCCCAAAGGTGGGTAAGGTATCGGGTGATGGGTAACAGACAACAACATGCCTCAAAGGACAGTGAAGCTCTGTTCCATTTATTGTAAGTACGAGCAGGTTTTATATTTTCATTTTAGGCAGTGATTAACATTTGCAGTATAGCATAATCAGTTAAGCAGAAAAAATCAATACAAAGGTAACCAGGAAAAATATGAAAGTTCCCATAGATTCAGTTATAATAAACAAAGATTATTTTGACCAGGAGAGCCATTAATCAGACAATTAGAAGTAGCTGTATGTACAGAATTTAAATGTCTTAATTGTATATTAAAGTTTTTCAGAATTTGTCATGGGGCAAAAGGATACGCTAGATTGAGTAGAGGTAACAGGAAATTTATTATAAGGCCTTTGTGATGTCTAACTTAGCTATCTACCCTTTTCTGTCTAAAATGTTTCTCTGTGTACTGTAAACTCTGACTCTTTAGTAACTGTTTCTACGTGTTGTTTAGTTTGTAATAACTAGCCAGCTTTTGTTATTTCTTTGCCTGTCTAATTGATATATATTCTTTTTTAAAATTTTACTTAGTTATTTTTCAAGTACAGTTTTTTGTCTATTTCTCCCATCCCAGCCCCCCTACCCCATGCTCCCCACCTCCCTCCCATTTCCTCCCCCCCAGTCCTCGTCCCTGTGTCCTTCATACTTGTTCCTCTAAATCCCTCCCCTTTTCCCCCCTTAAATTCCCTTCCCTCTCCCCTCTGGTCACTGTCCCCTTGTTCTCTATTTCAGTTTCTTGGTTTTTATTCCGCCTGCTTGCTTGTTTTGTTGTTTAGCTTCCTGTTAAAGGTGAGATTATATGGTATTTGTCTTTCAACACCTGGCCTATTTCACTCAGTATAATGCTTTCCAGTTCCATCCATGTTGTATTCTTATTCAAGGTAAAGGAGGGGCTGTTACTTCGACAACTTCTAAACATTCAGGGACTATTCATTAGAGGGAACTTTGTTCTCTGGTCAAGAAATTATTTTGTACACCTTCATTGGAATTGTGCGAATCAATGAACCTGAAATACAGGTGTCTAACAATCCCACCACCTTTTGATCACCCAAACAAACATGTAAGGAGAGATAAACAGGAAATCCTGCCACAGTTGCCTCTGCCTTGCAGACGCATCTCAACAGTCCCGACTGTATCTCTGGGCTATGGGTAGGGGTCTATATAGTTTTTACTTGTTTTCTTGGAAGACCCTTTGTATCTGTGGGTAAGGAACAGTCGTGGGAAAGTCTTTCTAATCTGTTCTTCTATTCCCTCAACTATTGGCAGCACAACCTGTGTTTGCAACAATAACCTGGTTCTTTATTAACTGGCCTTAACTGTTGATTTAAGAGATCTAACTTGTTTTTCTTATTTCTGGTACACTGTGGCGGTCCTGATCGCTTTAAGTTGCTCAAACCAGGGTAATTTATACAACTTGACATATTTTCCCTTATGGTTAACAATTATATTACCCTGGATGTCATACACCCCTGTATAAGGGAGAGGGGAATCTGTGGATATTTTTACATCCTTTCAGGCAGTTCCGTGGGGAATACTAATGTTTTCCCCTGAACTGTCCCTTCCTCTTGGGTGATTTTCACAGGAATAAGTAAGTAACAGTACAATGTCTATATTCAGTAGCAAGAGTAAAATAATTAAAATAAAACAGATAATTGTTAACCCATTTTGAATGCCACATTCCCCTCCAGGGAGACGAATTCCTTGAACTCAAATCCTCCGTGCCTGGACCTTGTCAGACAACATGGTTGGAAGAGAACATGGCAATTTCTGTCATTAATAAATATAATCAATTATTTATAAAATATAAATCGACCAATTATATTAGAAATATTAGGGGATAAATGAGAATCCACCAAGATGGCTGAATATAATTTCAACAAAAAAATTCTATAAACCAGTAACAGTTAATTTAAAATGTGATAGGGTGACATTGTAACAATAGCAAATAAAACCATAAAGTAAAAAAGAAACCTAATAAGAAATGAGAAAATATCAGTTTTTAGAGGATTAGACTGTTCATCTGTAAAATAGGGAACATATACTTCTCCTTCTTGCTCTTTGAATTTTGGGGAAGGCTCAATAATTTGTCTGCTGGGCCCTAAACACATGTAGGAAGGTGACCAGATTAAAAATGACCATTCACAAAAAAGCAAAAAATATTTCTGCTCATTCCCATTTGGCTTTGTGGGTTTTGATCCAGAGCTTACTCTTGCTTAACAAAAGAATTATATGCAGTGAAGAAGGGCATTCAAAGATGAGACGGTGGGAGAAGTGGAGACCTTTCTGAAGTGGGACATGTATGTGGTTGTTTCCTCGAGCCAGTAGGGACATGATACTATTCCCACAGAGCACTGGGGCATAGTCCCATTCCATGCATACTTGAGACTGGGGTGGCTCACAGAGATGTGGATGGCCCTGGTTATAGAAAACATCCAGGTGGCTGAGTGAGAAATAGAAGACATTATATCACCACCAAAAATGGACTACATAGACTTAAGCAGGAGTGCTCTTAATTCCAGACATCAACACTGATATTCTTCCAGATGTTTTCTATATTTCTTTATTTGCCCAGAAAACCTGTGAGTGGAGAGCAAGTTGCCCTCCCACTCAACAAAGAAAGAATTTCTTTGAGACTGAATTTTCCATTTTTTAGGGAAGTGGGGGCTCAGATCCAGTTAAGTTGATTTATAAAAATACAGAAATGTAGTTTCTTGGAACCAGAGCAATGGAAGCTGATGTTAACACATTCATGAATTATTACACTTAAATCATCTCTGTTCAGTGAGAGAATAGGGCAGATATGATTATAAGCTTCAGGTCCAGGTAGATGGGTTTGAATCAAGTCTCTGCCACTTGCTCTATGTAATAAAACTCAAAAACATTTAACTTCTTTAAGTTTCAGTATCCTCATGTAAAAGACATGGAAAATAATGCTCATCCCATGGCATTTAAGTATTTAATATTTTATTTGCCAGAAGTGCTTGTTAAGGTACATAGCATGTGTTCAATAAATAGTGGTGTGATGAGTGGTGTGAACACCTCATGAGATCTGAAGTTGTGTGGAGATATGACCAACAACAGGAAGTTACTTGGGTTATATTTTGGGTGGGGATAAGATCTTCTCTGGAGGTATAGGCTATTTGCTTTTAGGTCGGGGAGTTGAGTAGGCACCCAAGACTCAAGGGAGTGGATAATATGTGCCAATCGCTATGGTTGGGTTGGCCTTCACTATGCTGGGGCACCAGTGGTGCTCTGATCTCATGGAGAGCTGATTCTGTCATATGCTTGACCAGAACTGCTAAATCTTAATGAGATTGGGTAGGCAGTGGGATGCAGAGAAAGAGTAGAGTGGGTCAGAAAGAGGGCACCTTCTGTGTGATTTTGGAGGGAGCTTCCATCCCAGCATCTCACTGTTACCATCCATAAAGGAAGGAACTGGATATTAAGAGGAAGAAAGAAGTCTCTGTCTCTTAACGCAGGGCTAAGTTAGGAGTGGGTGCTCCAGGGGGCGTGTCAGACTGATTAGTAATCTAGGAGGAAGAGTCAGGGCTCTATTTGGGGGAGGAGTAGCCTCCATTTGAATACCCACAAATAAATTTTGTTACAAAGGAGTTATAGCATTTCATATATCAGGTGAATCTGCAGAATAGAGGCTGAAAGGCAAGGCAGGACCCTATCTCTCCCATGGCCTTGATGCGTGGTCAAAACTCACAGATGGCCAGTCGATACTGCAGGCAGCTCTTATCATTCCACTGCCCATCTTTGTACATCTCCACACACTTCTCTTTGCCCTGACCCCTAGGCTCCCCAGGGTACCAGTTGGTATAATTCACAGGAGTGTTATCCAGGTAGGAGAAGATTCCAGAGATAGGGTCCCCAGCTAGACCCAGATAGGCATAAGTGTTGTGCTTCTTCACGATGCTTGCAATGGCGTCATTCTCTTCTGGACTCATTGGGACTGCAATGCTGCCACCAACTCTGTCACATAACTCTCTAATGCCATCAAAATTGGCTGACTGCCCATTGGTGGAGAAGACCTTCTCTCCCACTCTCAGCATGGAACCCTGCAAACTGAGGACTGAGAGCAGAGGAATATGGGTCAGGCCACTGGCCTCTTTGTCTCACTTGGGCTCTGCCTTTATACTCTCTCCAGTCTCTTCTCTGCCTCTCTGTCTTCCCTCCATCTTCCAATCCTAGTCTTTCTAAATTCTCCTCTGTGCTTTCATCATTTTATTCATTCACTCATACATTTAAAATTTTTTTAACTGTCTTATTATGTGCCCAAAACTACAACTTCCTGGATTCAATAGAAAGCAGGATAGGCAGAGAACTTGCTTTCCCGTGACATGAGGAACTAATCTATGTCCACCTCTGTCCCCTCTGGGCCATCAAAGACATCAGAAAAGGGAAGCATCATTATTTTCCCCAAGACATGCATGTCTACACCCATACTAGGTTCTGGAGCTTGGTGTTGAAGATGAGGGGAACTTAGGGAGAGCCCCACCCTGTCTTATAAGCCCCTAGGGGGCCCCTTACCTCCTGTTGACTGCAAGATTTTATGTCTCAAGTTGTGGAGTGTGTTTTGGAGGTCCTCGTCTAGATAAGCTGAAAGCCCTGTTGAGAAAACCCCAGACAGGATGAGGGCAAGCCAACAGAGACCCCCAGTTGCTGCCAAGCAGGTGTGATGCCACCTGCAAGCCTGATATTCTCCTCTCTACTTGTCCATACCCACTGTGCAGGCCCCAAGTTGTAAGGGTCCATTACACTAGAGTGTGTTTCCACACTCCCAAAACATGTTTCCTTTCATGCAGCCTTGCACCTGCTGAGCCCCTCTCTGTTCTCCTCTCCTGTCACAGTTTAATGGCTCTGTCTGTTCACTTCTGTGGGTTTCTCTGATTTCTGTGCAAAGGTCCCTCCCTACCCTTCACCAAGGGCAAGTGTGGTTCTCTTTGTACTTCCCTGATGGATCTTGATTATTATTCAAAGTTTCCCTCTGCATATGGGGCTCCCAACCACACCATCTGCTTGGATCTTTGGTCCACAAGACCTGCTATATTTTTCAGAATGCTCCTACCACCTCACTCCTAACTGCCTCCCCTGCCTCCCATTATTGCCTCTTTTCCTATACCCATCACCCTGTGCCTTCCTTATAGCAGCTGTGATGCAAGGAGCACTTTCAACACCCATCAGTCTCTACATTGTGGCCTGTTACCCATACTCTTCTGATTTCTCTCCCCAACCTTGCTCAATATTTAGATTGAGCAATATGCCCTTTGGGGGCCTCCACAGTTTTGTCTGATTCCCATCACCTCTCATGTGACTATGTCATGGGCACTGTGTTCAGGTTGCCATTGCCCACATTCCCCATCTTTCTCACCTGGAGGGCCCCTCTCACCAGGTTCTCCCTTTTCTCCACGCTCACCAGCAATGCCAGGGGCTCCAACCAGCCCATCACGCCCAGGGAGGCCTGGAATTCCTCCAGGGGGGCCCATGGGGCCTGCAGAGAAAAGGGGTCATGAATATATAATATCTATCATCCACAACAAAGTTGTATTGGTGTACCTGGACCTCCATTATCAGCCAGACTGACTCATCTGTTAACACATAGGCACTTTGAGGAGAAACCCTGCGGGGGTGTTCCAGCCTAAGGGCTCCAGGAAACTCCCACTGTGCCCCACCATCCAGCTGACCCTTCGACCCAGTCCATAGCCCTGAACACACTGGGCTCCTGAAAATAGGTCACTGTCCCTCAGCTGAAGAAGGGATACCCCAGCCAGTACCTGGAGGTCCAGGGTCTCCTTTGATTCCATCTCTTCCATCTCTGCCTGGCAGGCCATGGGATCCTGGAGTGCCAGGGATGCCTGAGCTTCCAACACAAATTTCCTTCACTTCACACTCGATGCCAGAGGCCACCAGCAGGATGAGGGAGAAGGCCAAAGAGCACCGCAACATGGCTCCTGTTCCAGATGCTCCTCCTGCAGAAAGAAAGAGCTGCCAGATTATCTGAAGCATTTGGGTAAGTCTCCCCTTCCCTCCCATGGCTGAGCCTCAGGGCCAGGGAAGGTATAGGCAGGAGCTCTGGGAAGACCCAACTTATCCTTGGGAACTCCTAGCATCTTCTGGCATCTAACAGTCTCATGCCCCATTGCTCTGGCTTGGGGTGGTGTCATACCTGGGCAAGTGAGGAGGTATAGGGTAAAGAGATCTGGAGAGTCAGAGCACCTAGGTTCTAATGAAGTCTCTGCTTGTACCTTGTATGACCATGAGGAGCTCACTTCACTATTGCTAACTTCAGCTAAAACTTCCTTGCCCTGGAGACAATCCTAACCTGTCCCTTCCAGGCTGTTGGGAAGAGGATGGGGCCACTCATTTACTCATTTACTCTGTCTCTTATCCTCTCAGTTACCCTCTTTTCAGGTTCTAAGGGACTATGTTCCTGAGGATGAATGAAGATAACCAGGGTCCATGGCCTGGACACTCCAAGATGGTCAATGATGAGGAGATCCCTCCCCTTGTTTGGGTAACCCCTTCTCCTTGCTAGGCTGTTTTCTGCCCCCCCCCAACTAAAATCCTGGTGGGAATGGACCTAGCTGAGGAACCCAGCAAAATATAAGGATATTTGCAAGCCTTTCTGCTTGTACCATAGTTAAAATTTTGTGAAACAACTGCAGGGGTGTGGGCAGAGGCCCCCTCCTTCCCAGCCTGGATCTGAGTTAAACCTATGACTGCTGGGCTGGTTCTCACTGTCTCCAATGCGTGTATTGGGGAACACCCAGGAGATGGAGCTTAACTCACCTACACACACAGAGCCTACGTGGATCTCTACCTCCAGGTCAGAGTGGAGAGGTAGACGGCACCATTTATATGGATGCAGACTTCCCCTGCAGCCTGGAGAGGCTCCTGTCACAAGGACCTCTACTCCAGGGAGGGGCAGGCAGGAAGAAGTCTTATTTACACAGCACATTTCCTCACAGAGCACTCAGGCTAGAGGAGCACTTAGGAAACCTGCTAAAGAGAAACTCCAGTCTGTAAGAAGGGAAATGCTCATGGGCTGGAGGCTCCCCACTCCCCATAACCAGTTTCCAAGCAGTGCAGGATAAAAGTACTTACACAGGGCTAGGAAGTTCTCCCCCACCTGGACTTCCCCCCACTATCCTGGCTGGTGACATTTACATGCCAGGATCATCACCCCCCAAATGTCCACCACCAGGAAACAATACTAAGGCTGGACTCTTTTCCCAGGAGAACAAAGAGGTAGATTAACAGCATGCAAGGATATCTCCCTGTGACTCCTCTCTGGGGCCCTGCCAACTCCAGAGCCTCTTTAGCCCTTGGAAGGTTCCATGTGGTTCCAGACAGTGGAGAGGCCCTGATTCAAGTTGAGGATCATCAGGCTGATCTGGAACAAACTTTGTCATGGGATGTTCTTCAGCACTGAGCTCCCAGGCTTCCCATATCCTGCCTCTAGAGCCTGTGGCTGAGTTGGTGGCTATGTAGTTCAGAGTGACAGGTAATGACGGTGGCATTACAGGTAACACATATTCCCCTTTGCTCTGCATTGACAGATTCAGCTGTGGGGAGGTAGGGCAGGGCCTGAAAGTCACAGGAGAGCAGCAGGCTCTGCCTTCGGCCATTGGTGATATCTGATAATCTGCAAAGGTGATGTGTTTAAGTGGTGAAATAATATGTGAAGCCCTAATTCATGATGTTCCTTATTCAAGCCACTTGATTAGGAGAGAATCTCATACTTGTCTCCTTACTAAGACTCTCATGACCGTGCTTACTTGTTAGTGCTTTGAAGAGTCTCGAGATCCTCAGGAAGAGAAGGAGAACTTTTGCAGAGTGGGAGCTCAGCTGATGGAACCCCACTCCTAGGGACAGGAAGCCAGCCAGAGCTTACTTGGAGCACTGAGTGCTTTCAGCTGCTCAGCCACTGCTGGCCATGTGCCCCAGTGTGGGTGCCGGACCAAGTGGGATGGAGGAGTCAGGGCCAGGGCAGGGATGGGGTCAGTGGGGAGGCACTTCCATCAAAAGGACTTCGACTCTGGTTGGGAGAGGGAGGCTGTTCTGCAGGTGAAGGAGCAGGAACAGAGATCTTCTAAGGCAGATTTTTGAAGGGTCTAGAGAGAGGTACCTGGGATGTCCAGGGCCATGTGCTTGGCAGGGGAGGGTGTGGATTTGGGAGTCAGAGAGGCCTGAGTTGAAATGTGGAGCTGCCAATTATTATCCACGTAACCTTGGTCAGCTCATATAAATGTCAGCCTTGGTTTACTCTTTTTATTATTATTCTGAAGCAATATCAAAAACTTATAGAAAAGTTGCAGGCTTAGTACAGATTTTTTTTCTGAACTCATTAAGAATAGGTAGCCAATATGGTACTCCATCACCCCAGAACTTTCACACAAATATATTTTCCTATACAACCATAATAGAACCATCAAATCTAGAAATTAGCATGATTCAGATATCACTTTTTGTTAAAAAGTGATAGAATGTCATGGGGTATTTTATTTAATTGCTTAAGTTACCTGTTTAATCATTGAAGCCAGTCACGTAGCTTGATGGCAACATGCAAACATATGTCATGTACAGTTCTAATAAAATGACTATTCAATTAGCTACCTGGCCTTACTGCCTTCATCCAGTGTCCCACCACTCTCCCTTCTGCAACCTCTAAAAAGAAAACATTGCTGGTGCACAGAATTGAGGGGTGCTTTTCATGTCTTTCTCTTTCTGATCATGATTTTTCTTTGGTCTGGAGTGTTCTGCCTGCACTTTCTGACACACACATGAAAAAGGGAGATGAAGGGAGGGAAAGGAATGAATGAAAGAGAGAGAGAGAGAGAGAAGATTATTACCCAGGTGTCCTGAAGTCCCTTTAAATTCTCTGCCATAAGATCCCCACAGTCAGAAGTCTGTCTTTGTCTTCATTGTACCTAAAGACAGAAGGATAAATGAATTAATTTTGGATCAAAGTTTAATTGCAGGAATCTAGGGTGCAGTCCAACAACATAAAGGAAAAGAATTGAACCTGTTACTCACTGGTACAGTTAACATAGTCAACAATAAATACATATTACATTGCTGCCTTTGCAGTAAATGTAATTTCGTTAAAAATAACAAATAAATCTATTTCTTGTCCCTAAATATGAGAATTGGTTTAAAAATTCACATTATTTGTTTTCTCTTAATTTTCTACCAGCATGGCCTTTTCACCTTCCTCCCTGCCCTCAGTACTGTCAGTACTATCCTGCGTGCCTTCGAACTCCAGAGAAGCACATCATGTCTAGGCTTTTTTTAACCTTATAGAAGTATAATTGATATAACATGTGAAATTTAAGGTGTATGTGTTGACTTAATTCACATATATCATGAAATGATTACCACAGTAGTGTTAATACCCTCATCACCTCAAATAATTACCATTTCTTTTTTGTAGTGAAAAAATTTAAGATCTATTTTCCTAGCAACTTTCAAGTACATAATGCGGTACTGTTAACTGTAATCACCATGCTGCACATTAGATCCCCAGACCTGATTTATCTTTTAACCAGAAATTTGTACCATTTGGCCAACATCTCCCATTTCTTCCACCCAGCTCCTGGTAACCACCACTCTACTCTGTATCTACGATTTGGGATTTTTTAGGGTTCCACACTATATAAGTGATATTACACACTATTTGTATTTTTTTTTGTCTAACTTATTTCACTAGCATAATGCCCTCAAGATCCATCCACATTGTTGCAAATGGCGAGAACACTTTATTGTGGCTGAATTTTTTATTCAGATATAGGATATATATATATATATATATATATATATATATATATATAAAATGTATATATATATTCCCTATCTTTGTCTATTCAGACATAGACAAACATTTAGGTTGTTTCCATATCCTGGCTATCATGAATAATGCTGAAATGAAAATGGAAATGTAGGTATCTGTGTGAGATCCTGTTTTCTTTTCATTACCTGGACTATGAAACTAGTACAGCTGCCCAGGACAGTCCTTCACACCTAGTCCTGCTGTCCTCAAGCCCATTTTTGGTTTGTCAAAAAAGATGATCAGTCTCTGAAAAGATGGGGTCTGAATTCAAATACTGTTTTAGAGTTTTCTATTTTCATTGTGGAAAAAACAAGATCTCACTGCATTCGCAAGGGCCTTGTTACCTGAACCTTCCATGTTGCTCCTGCCTCATCATTCCTCATGAAAGGTTTCAGGTCCCTGAATCCCGGGGCTGATCTCTCTGAGAAGCCACAGAACTCCGGAGAGGGCGACCTTCCTCTTTCCAACAGGGAATGTGTGAGTCAGTTCTGCTCTCTGGTGTCCATATGAAAAACTGCAGCCACATGATGTGTAGACCAAGGTCACACATCATCCTCCCTGTTCGTTCATCCCACTTCCATGAGGGCTCCTTTGTATCAGGTGCCTTGATAGGATGGGAGCCATAGTTTAAACCTCTGACTTACCCAGGCTGTATCCACGAGGATCCTGCTCACCCATGACTAGTCTAATAGACTTAGCCTTTGCCCTGTGTGAGGGCTTTTCTGGCTAATTGTCCCATGCTAAGTTCTCCACAAAAGCTGGTGCATTGTTATGTACCCAGAGAAGCCTATGGTGAACCATTGTCCATTTCTGAGCCCCTGCAACCACTGTCTATTTCTGAGCCCCTGCACTAGCTAGTAGGCCCTTTACATTTATGATATCTCTCTGAGACTCACTGGAAGGGAGGCTCCCTTCTAACAGAGGAGGAAACTGAGGCTCAGTGAGGTTCCATAATTTACGAGAGGTGGGCAGCCTGCAGGTTCTAGAACCTGATTCAAACATTTCCCAGCCAACTCCAGAGCATCTTAGGCTTGATTTCCCTGAAGAACCCAGCACATTCTCTGCCCACAATGCCCACAGTTGTGGATCAAGCCCTGGACAGAGTGTGCCTAGACTGTTATTCTGCATAGTGGACCTCTTCCAAGCCTCAGATTCCAAGACTGCTTACTATATCATCCAGAGGCTCCATACAGCCTTGCTCTTTGCCCATAGCCTACATCAGTCCCTTGACATGCTTGATCCTGGCTCAGCTGCACTGCTGGGCACAGCAACACACACTTCAACCCCCAACCCCAAGGCAGAAGATTGGCACAGGATGCTCCAAGGCCCTTGTCACATGCATTGTATAAGCAGTGGTGACACTGGGGAAGGCTCTTCACTCTAGATGATAAGAATGAGGGCCCCAGCAGCCCATATCCTTTGGTAAAGTGGAACAGAAATGAGAGCCCCAGCCTGTATCTACCTTGTGCTGACCCGAGAAGCTGAATTTGGTAAAGTCCTGGCCGGGGCCCTGACAACCAGAGCCCAGCAGCCCTGCAGGACTCCGACCACCAGCAGCCTCCTCGGCCTCTCATTCTATACACCTTCCCTCCACACAATCAGTAGGACCCAGCCATTCTTTAATCAACTACTGTTTATGGAGACCACGAAGTAACCTCCACTGTTCTCTTACCACTGAGGGAGAGAGAAGCATTGGCAGGGAGAAAATGCTCTAATTTTTCTCATGTCTCTGGTAGTTGAACTGCCTCCGGATGTTTTTTAAGAAAAAGTGTATTGTGTCATCAAATTCAAGGTAACTCCTTATATTTCCTAGAAATTTTAATAGTTTAAATAACCATTATTGCCCTGGCTGGTGTAGCTCAGTGGATTGAGCGCGGGCCTGCAAACCAGACAATCGCGGTTTGATTCCCAGTCAGGGCACATGCCTGGGTTGCAGACCAGTTCCCTGCAGGCCAGTTCCCAGCAGGAGACACATGAAAGGCAACCATACATTGATGTTTCTCTCCCTCTCTCCTTCCCTTCCCCTCTAAAGATAAATAAA